TGACTGTTCTTGAATGGCCCAGCCAGAGCCCTGACTTAAACCCAATTGAGCATCTCTGGAGAGACCTGAAAATGTCAACCAATGTTTACCATCCAACCTGACAGAACTGGAGAGGATCTGCAAGGAGGAATGGCAGAGTATCCCCAAATGCAGGTGTGAAAAACTTGTTGCATCATTCCTGAAAAGACTCATGGCTGTATTAGCTCAAAAGGGTGCTTCTACTAAATACTGAGCAAAGGGTCTGAATACTTATGACCATGTGATATTTCAGTTTTTCTTTTTTAATAAATCTGCAAAAATGTCAAAAATTCTGTGTTTTTCTGTCAATATGGGGTGCTGTGTGTACATTAATGAGGAAAAAATGAACTTAAATGATTTTAGCATATGGCTGCAATATAACAAAGAGTGAAAAATTTAAGGGGGTCTGAATACTTTTCGTACCCACTGTATATTACAACTGTATTGATAATTGTCAAGAACTGCTGAGTAGGAACTGTCTGCCAGAACTTTGTGGAGAAATAATGTCTGCATCTTTAATTAACCAGATGGCCTGTTTTGCATCTTCACTTGGCCTGTTTAGCATGTCACAAGTTCAGCTTTGTCATGTAACAGTTTGCAGAGATCGGGCATCTCCAATTTGAGAGGATCCCCTGGCCTATTTACCATTTTGACAAGTTCTGCTTTGTCCTGCAATAGCCTAGAAAGACAGCCGCAGACAACCCATTGTCCAGTATTCATTGTTAGCTGCTGCCTGATATCACAACATTCACACACCTGGCTTGTAGCACATTTCAGTAAACAGGTGTGGGCATAGGTTGGCCTGCTCATGCCAAGGGCCAATAGAATTAGAATGCATGTAAAGTCCAACCTCTGTATGGGGCGGTCTCTGCCCAAGAGGATAAATGTGACCACAGATGATAGCTCGGGGCTCTTTGATGATGGGGTTCCTGTGGAAGCTCTGTTTCTCTGAGCCAAGTGCTGTATGGCTTTACATGTGACCAGACTTTGAGTAAATTTTGAGTCAGAAGTGGGAGTGTGCGAGGTGGGAGGTGTCATCAGCAATGCTGATGGCTCTGCGGGTGAGGTGGCTGTTGAAGATGTCCGTAAGGGAAGGCAGAGGGGTGCCAATGATCTTGCTGGCTGTATTCACTATGCATTGCAGGGTTAAGAAAGGGCCCTTCTGCAGGAGGCAGTATATGCTCCATGATTGGTCATGCAGCCAGTGATAATGCTCTCAATGGTGCCCCGGTAGAAGAAGCGCATGATGGGGGGTGGGACACTGGCTCTCCTCAGTTTGCAGAGGAAGTAGAGGCATGTTTGAGCTTTCTTGGCCAGTGTTGTGGTGTTGTTGGTCCAGGAGAGGTCCTCAAAGATGTGCACCCCCAGGAACTTGGTACTGCTCACTCTCTCCACTACAGCACCGTCAATGGTCGGTGGTGGATGCTTTAGAGGTTTTCTCCTGAAGTCCACAACGATCTCTTTAGTCTTCCCCACATTGAGGGAGAGGTTGTTGTTCTTACACCACTGGACCAGTTGGCACACCTCACTCCTGTAGTTGGTCCCATCATTGTTGGTAATGGGACCAACTACAATCGTGTCGTCCGCAAACTTGACAACGTGGTTGGTGATGTAGGTTGGCACACAGTCATGGGTCAGCAGTGTGAAGAGCAGTGGGCTGAGCACACACCTCTGTGGAGCCCCTGTGCCCAACGTGATGGTCTTGGAGATGTTTCTGTCGACCCGCACATTTTGTGTCCTCCCTGTTAGGAAATCCAGCACCCAGTTGCAGAGAGAGGTTTTGAGTCCCAAATGTCCAAGTTTTTGTGTAAGCTGCAAGGGGATTGTGTTGAACTGAAGTCTAGGAACAGCATTCGGACGTAAGAGTTCTTTGAATCTAGGTGGGCGAGGGTTGGATGGAGAACAGCAGTAATGGCATCCTCTGTGGACCTGTTTGACCTGTATGCAAACTGAAATGGGTCATGACAGGGAGGAAGGATGGACTTGATATTCTGCATAAACAACCGCTCAAAGCACTTCGTAATAATTGAAGTCAGTGCTACAGGCCGATAGTCATTGTAACAGGTTAGGTGGGGCTTCTTTGGAATTGGAATTATTGTGGCAGCCTTGAAACACGTGGGAACAACTGCTTGGCTGAGAGAGATGTTAAAGATGTCTGTGAGGACATCCTTGGGTTCCTCAGCACAGTCCTTTAACCCTGTAAAGCCTGACATAAAAAAAAAAAATAGCCAGAACATTCTAATTTTTTGGAACTAGGATGTTTATTAAACCTTTTAACAAAATCCAAAATATAATTCATGATTCAAAATTCAAGATTCACGATTTTCATTTGCCATATATGCATAGACAGACAGTCCAGTCATATAGGAATAGAGGTGCCGTATTATTTAGATTATTTCTATTTCTTTTGTATCACATTTGATACATGAGGCATTTTTGGCAATTTTTTTTTTTTTGCTCAGAAACCTCACGTATCAAATATGATACAAATGGTTTTATAGGGTTGAAACATGATCAGGTATGTTATGTGGTCCAGCTACCTTGCGTGGGTTAATCCTGGAGAGGGTCTTCTTCACCCTGGCTGCAGACAGACACACAGCCTGCTCGCCCGGGGAGGGGTCTTCTGTGCTGGTGTGTTCTTCTGTGTTTCTAAGCGGCCAAAGAAGTCATTGAGGTTGTTCAGCAGAGAGATGTCACTATCATAGCTCCGAGGTGGGGGTTTATAGCCTGTGAGGGTTTGGATACCCCTCCAGAGACCCTGTGCATCTCTAGTGTTGCTGAAGTGTCCAGATATTTCCTTGCTGTATTGGCGTTTTGCCTACCTGATTCCACAGGACAGGTTGGCTCTTGCTGCTGCTAGGCCTGCGGTGTCGCTGACCCTAAAGGCTGCATCCCGAGCTCTCAAGAGTCTGTGAACCTCACCTGTCATCCATGGCTTCTGGTTGGCACAAACACTGATATTTTTGCAGTAAGTGACATCATCAATGCACTTTGTGAGGTATGCTGTGATGGCCTCAGTGTATTCCTCTATGACTGTGTGGTTGTTATGAGTGGCTGCTTGTTTGAAAATGTCCCGGTTTTTAGTGTCAAAACAGTCCTTCAGAGTAAAGGAAGCTCCCTCTGGCCACACGTACCTCCTTTTGTGTTGGTGTGATGGCTTTCACTCTGGGTCTGTATGCAGGTCTCAGCATGATGGTGATGTGATCAGAGAGACACAGGTGGGGGATGGGGAGGCTTTGTATGCTCCCTTGCATGCAGTGTACACAAAGTCCAATGTGTTGTCTCCTCTCATTGGAAAGTCCACATGTTGGTGCAGATTGGGCGGTGAAACCTTTAAATCCACATGATTGAAGTCCCCAGCTGCGATGAGGAATCCATCTGGGTGCGCTGTCTGTTGTTCACTGATGGCCTGGTAGAGTTCATTCAGTGCCTCACTCCTATCGCTGGTGTTAGCGGTAGGAGGAATGTACGCAGCTATCAGCAGAATTACTGAGTACTCCCTACATAAATAGAAAGGCCGACACTTGATGATAATAAACTCCGCCAATGGAGAACAGTGTTTATGAACAATAGCAGCTTCCCAACGCTGATGTAAACACAAACTCCCCCTCCACATGTTTTACCTCCATCCACAAGGACTCGGTCGGCTCGGTAGCATGTTAGCCCAGATACTTGGATTGCGGAGTCCAGGATGTTGTCGTTTAGCCGTGTCTCTGTAAAGATGAAAACACAGCAGTCCTCACATCATGCTGCGCAGATCTCAGGAGCTGTATGTGGTCTATTTTGTAGTTCAGTGAGCGTACACTGGCCATAATGAGGGCCCATAGTATCACGGGTCTGTGTGGGCTAGCTGCTAGCCTAGCCTGGATGTTTGCCCCGCTTCTGTTTACACTCACAATGCTTCCAATGCCTCTTCTCTGGGGGTGATGTAGTCGGCATGTCTGGTGATGTTGGAATCCAGCAGAGAAGCCCCAGGCTTCGAAGTTCCTTTGTAACTTCCTGGTCCAAGTTGAAATGTTTTGACTTATTCCTTATATCCATAAGGCAGTGGCGACTGTATCTTGAAAGCAATGCAGACATTGAACTACACGCATCAGAACATAAACAGGACAAATGCGAACACACACTATAACACTGTCAGGAAACCGGCGCGTGAAGCTGCCGATAATGTCGAGGGGTGAACTCAATTAAAATGCCAGACAAGGATAAGTAAAACACTGTCTCTTTAATGAGAGCACGGACAACGAATTGATACAGAGAACTAAATAAATCACGAAACACACACTCAGGTCGAGAATACAGTCCAGAGTCAGAGCCAGCAAACTTACACAGCCAAGGAATCCACAAATGAGAGGTCAGAGAGAGAAGTCCGATAATCCATACATAGAAAGCAGTGTAAAGCAGGAGGGCAAGGCAGAATCGGTGGTCTAAACAATCCAAGGTCACAACAGGAAATACAGGCACAAGGAAAAACACTGGAAAGTCTGACATCGATGAGAGAACAACCTGGCAGGTTACTGGTGGAGGGAAAGCTACTTATATTACGGTGAAAACAGATGTAAACAATGAGTACTGATTAACATAAAAAGTCCAAAACAGGTGAAACTGAAACTGGAAATATTGTCAAAATAAAAGCACGAGAACGGAAACCGATGGGACAGAATCGTGACAAACACACATTTTTAGGCACACAACTCGGAGAGAGGGGCCGCTGCGTTCGTTCATGTCGCCATCTTGCATACAGCTATAATTCAGCATATATTCATGTCAGTTTAATTCATTATTACATATCCAAGTTCCACATTAACTTACCATTATATGGTTTATACTATTATTTTTAAAGTACGGTGGGAAATTGGGGTGTAGTTTTTAGGGATTGTAATAAATATTTAAAAATGCACAGGTAAATCTAGTATTGTTACACA